TCCTTTCCAGGGTGGTCAGCAGCTCGTCCTTTTCGGGCTGAAAGGCACGGAGCTCTGCAGAGACCCCGGCCAGGACAGCGGCGTGGACAGCGTCCAGGAACTGCAGAAGCCACCCGGGCCAGCCAACGCGGCCGGGCAGAGCCCGAGAGAGGAAGCAGAGAGCAGAGAGACGGGGGAGATGGAGAGACCGGGCCAGCGCGGGCAGATCCCGGGAGGCCCAGCCTAGGCCCCCGCGTGCCCACCCCTCCTCACCTCGGTCCAGGCCCAGGCCCGCGCGCGGGCCCCCCCTCGCAGGCGCGGCAGGCTCTGGGCGCGCAGCGTGGGCCGCAGCTCCCGCATCAGCACCGCGGTCAGCACCTGCGGGAGACCAGGCTGTGGGCGGGGCGCGCGGGCGGAGGGCGGGGTCCCGGCGGCCGCGCAGGTGGAGACTGACCTCAGCATCCGAGCCCAGGGTCGAGTCATCGTCGCCAAAGTGGCCGTGGCGTTTCCGGTACTGCTGCACGGCGTCCAGGAAGGCCCGGGCCGCGGGAGCCGAGCTGCGCTGCAGGACTATAGGCGATCAAGTCAGCCCCACCCTCCCCGCCCGCCCCTCTTCGCCCCGCCCCTGAACTCCGGAGTCTCGCCCACCTCTGGGTTCCCTGCTGGCTGGGGCACATGTCCCCAGGGTCACCACCTGCGCTTGAGGGGCCTGTGTGCCAGTTAAGCGCCCTGTGGCAGCTGCCAGGGGCTGTTACTCATTGGGCAGCTAACCGTAAGGTCAGCAGTTTGAACCCACCAGCTGCTCCGTGGGAGAAAGATGAGGCTTTCTACTCCCATAGAGGGTTGCAGCCTCAGAAACCCACAGAGGCAGTTATACTCCAACTTACAGGGTCACTATGAATCAGAATAGACTTGCGGGCAGTCAGTCAGTTGGTCAGTCAGTTGGCAGCTGTTAAGCATCGAACTGCTAGCCCTAAGGTCTGCGGTTTGAACTGCAGCTGCTCCGCTGGAGAGAGCGGAGGCTATCTGCTCCCATAAGGATTCACAGCCTTAGAGTGGGAATCCACTCAGGGCAGTGGGTTGGGTTTGGTTGCACGGGCAATCAGATGGGGCCAGAGAAAGGGGCGGGGGCTCAGTGGTGGGCGGGGCCTGGTGGGTGGGGCCTCCAGCGGCCTTTCCCATTGGGAAGGTTTATGCGCTATGGGTCCTGTTTCCTTTCTCCACCCGGCTGGCCCTTCATCTTCTTCGGGCTCCAGCTTCAACCCCTGGGAAGCCCTACCGGACCCCCAAGCCGAGTTGTCCCCCTCACAGCCCTGGCCGTTCCTGTCCGGAGTCCCCTAGGCCTTCGGCAACAACTCCCTTTTCAGATCGGAAAACCAAGGCTTCAAGAGGTTTCCACAGCCAGCCGCAGAGGTGTGTGTGACGTTAGAGCCTGAGCCATACCCCTGCCTGGTCACCCCCACCCTCCCCAAGACCCACCGGTGCCCCGCAGCCGGATGCCACCCTGGAGGGCCAGCTTCCAGGCGCGCTGTGCCTCCCTTGTAGCTGTGGAGAAACAGAGATGCCTGCGAAAGGGGTGCTGCAGGAAGAGGGGGAACTTCTCAGGGATGTCCACGAGGGGGTCGGGTTCTTCCTGGGCATGGCCTCCTGAAAACACACAGAGAATGGTCACACGTTGATTCCTTCACTCTGCAATGCGTCCTTCCGCCACAATGGGAAATTATCTGGGAAATGCTGGGAGCATGCGCTACAGAAATGACTGCTGCCGCGATGGCTCTGGGCGAGTAGGGTTCTGCGGGCCCAGGGCAGACATCACGAATCCATCTCGCACTGTTTCCCAGCCTCAGCACAGCGCCCTAGACAGACGTCACCACGCTGTGCACCAGGAGCTATTGTTTTAACCCTTTGTTACTGTAATTCGAACAGCCCCGAGTGGCCCGAGAGGTTTGCACTAGATGATGAATCGAAATGAAGTTGGTGGTTTGGACACTGCGGAAGAAATGCCTGGCAATACGCTTCTGCAAAGACCACAGCCAGGAAAACCTTAAAAGGGGCACAGTTCTGCTCTGTGACGCGTGGCGGCGCTGTGAGTTGGGATGGACTGCACAGGGGAAAGTTACTTAGATTCTGGTCAATTACTTAGAATCTCCCTCTCACCTGGAGGATTGGGACAGTGTCTTCGCTTGAGGGCAGTTCTGCAGCGGGGGGACACTGGGTGAAG